CAGTAATACAGAAGACACAGAAGGCCCCTTTGTCAGTGCAAACAGGCAAATAGATGATGCTTTGACTACTGCTCTGTTCTCTTGGCTTGAACTCATCACTCTGCAGTCAGACAGGCTCAGCCCAGAGTGCCTGCAGCAGCCACTCCAGCCTGGGGTAGCTGCACCTCTGCAAACTGACGTTGCTGCAGTGTGCAGAGGGAGGATCACAGGAGCTAAAGAAGAGTTAGCATGTGTCTCACAAGAAAGATGAAGCATTGGTCAGCTCCCAGAGCTGGATATCATTGCTACTAGTGGAATGAGTCCTGTGATTGGAGTGCTGGCACCAAGGGCTACAGGCTTCAGGAGGCGGCAGGACAGGTGAGAGGGGGAGGTGTGACACTATAAGTAAGGGAGAGGTTTGATTGCACAGCCCTTAGAGTTAGTGATGATGTGGTGAAGAGCCTCTGGGTGAAGACTGGAGGGAAGGAAAACAAAGCAGGTATTGTAGAGAGTGTTTGCTGCTGATTGCCCAGTTGGGATGTAAGCACCAGTGAGTTATTCTATAGGCAATTGGAGAACTCTCTGGACCAGTAGCCCTTGTCATTATGGGAGATTTCAAGTTCCCAGATATCAACTGGAAATATCATACTTCTGTGACAAGTCTTGGAAATTCTTGAGGCTTATAGAGAAAACTGCTTGTCATTCATATTTAGAGAGCCAACTAGGAAAGATGCCCTCCTGGACTGACTATTTGTGAATAGAGCAGGACTCATCAGGGATGTGACAGTAGGCGGCTGTCTTGGCTACAGTGTTCACGAAATGAGGATTTTCACTGTAAAGACAGAAAAGGATGGCAGAGTTGCTTCCCTGGACTTCATGAGAGCAAACTTTATGCTGTTCACAGCGTTCGTTAGCAGTGTGCCAAGGGAACCTGCTTTTAAGGACTTTGGAGTCCACATGTGCTGATCAGTATTTAAGACTCACCTTTCAGAAGCACAGGAGCAGATAGCTTTACCATGCTGTGAGTCAAGCAAGCAGAGCAAAAGGCCAGCTTGTCTGAACAGGGAACTCCTTGTGTGGATCAGGAGGAAAAAGAAACTGTATGACCTCTGGAAGCAAGGTGGACATGTCCTTAATTGGTCAACCTTGAAGTGGTCAGCTCTGAGTACAGAGCTGAGGTTCATTTACACAGGGAGAAGACATGAAAGTCGAAAGCTCAATTAGAGTTGAAACTGTCCAGTGTTGTTTCAAATAACAAAAAGGGCTTTTTTTCAGATGAGGTCTAAAGAAAATATTGGGCTGATACTTGGTGACTTGGTGAAGGTGGCAAATACTTGATAGTGCTTGGTCAATTTGACTAACAGGAATGAAGAAAAAGCAGATGCATTCTATGCACTTTTTGTCTCATTCTTTAGTAGACCTGCAGCTTCCCAGTCCTCTGAGTTGGAGGACCATAAATGTGAGAACAGTGGCTTTATATTGTGGACACTGAAATTGTAAGAGACCAGCTGTATCAGTTGAATTTTCACAAGTCCATGGGGCCTCATGGATTCATCCAAGTGTTCTGAAGGAGCCAGTGAATATTATGGCAGGACCCCTCTCAATAATCTGTCAAAGATTTTGCAGGTCTAGGGAGGTCCCGCTGATTTGAAGCTTGACAATGTTATTCTAGTCCACAAAAAAAAGGCATGAGGAAAGACCTAGGGAATTACAGATCTGTTAATTTAGCCTCAGTTGCTGGAAAAAATATTGAGATTATTATACTGGGTACTACTGAAAGGCATTTAAAGAATGATACAGTCATAAGGAACAGTCAATATGGGTTCATAAAAGGGAAGTCCCATTAAACTGATTTGATATCCTTCTATAATAATGTGTAGTGGATGAAGAGAAAGCAGTGGATACAGTTTTCTCAGGATTTTAGTAGGCTTCTGATACTGTACCTCAGCATCTTTCTGGACAGATTGCTCAGCCATGGAATGAGTGGACTTGTGATGCACTGGGTGAAGAACTGGCCAAAGGCCAGATCTCAAAGGATTGCAGGCTACAGCTGGCTGTTGACTGGTCACCAGTGATATTCTTTGGGGCTCAGTTTTAGGGCCAGTTCTGTCAGATATATATATATGCGTGTGTGAATATATATATACATATACATATACATATATATATATATATATACACACACACACACACACATATGCATATATATCAATGATCAGGATGCAGGAGTTGAATGCACCACTGGCAAGTTTGCTGATCATACCAAAGTGGGAGGTGCTTTTAACTCTCTTGAGTAGGCACAAAATATCTTGCAGAGGGATTTAGGTACACCGGAGCATTGGCCAATGATTAGCAGGAGGAAATGTAACAATTCAAAATGCTGGATTCTGATCCCTCTGGGATGGTGTAATGCCAGGCACAAGTATGGATGAGGAGAGGAGTGGCTGAAGAGCAGCCCTGCAGAGAGGGATCTGGGGGATGCTGGTGGACAGCAGGCTCAGTGTGAGACACCAGAGGGCAAACCTTGTTCTTGGGTGCATCAAACAGAGTATCACCAGTCACCCAAAATTATCCTGCTGTGTTCAGAGTTGGTGTGGCCTCCCCTGGAGCACTCTGTGCAGTTCTGGGCCCCACCATGGAAGGAGGACGTGAAAGTCCTTGAACACATCCAGAAGAGGATAACAAATCTTGGTGAAAGGACTGCAAGGAATGTCCTACGAGGAGCAGCTGAGGACACTGTGCTTTTCTAGTTTGGAGAGAAGGAGGCTGAGGGGTGACCTCATTGCTCTCTGCAGCTTCCTGAGGAGGGGAAACAGAAAGGGAAGCACTGAGCTCTTCTCCCTGGTGTCCACTGACACAATGCAAGGGAGTGGTCCTGTGGGAATGCCCCACAGGAGATTCAGACTGGACATTAGGAAGCATTTCTTTACAGAGAGGATGGTCAAACTCTGGAACAGGCTTCCTAGAAAAGTGGTTGGTGCCCCACACCTGTCAGTGTTTAAGAGGCATTTGGACATGTCCTTAATTGGTCAACCTTGAAGTGGTCAGGCAGTTGGATTAGATACTTGTTGCAGGTCACTTTCAATATAAATATTCTATTCTACTCCATTCCATTTTGTCCTATTCTATTCTTTTCTGCTGTGATCTTCTCTGCCTTTACAGTTGCACCATGAGGCCGTTCATTCAGATCTGTTTTTTCATGACATAAAATCTAACTTTTTTTCCTAGCAAGGAAGGGTGGGGACTGATGCATTTTCTGTCTTCTTAGAGACTGTTTCTCTAGTCCAGAGCAGGCATACAGTGGTAGCACAACATGAAGAAGTTTGAACTAGTTGATTTCTCATTTACCTCTTGGATGAGGTAGCTGCCAGGTGTCTCAGCCCAACATCTTCTGCAATCCCTAACTCCATTAACCAGCTCAACATAACAAATGAGGGATCATTCTCCAGCTATCCCTAAATTTTTTAGTTTACTGGTGTGTTTTTTCTGTAAGTTGATACTAGCTCACTGACGTGATAGGCAGTATTAATAAAGCCTTAGTCACAGAGCTGGAAAGAATGCTTTTTACACATAGGACTAAGAGCTGCCTGGATCCTTCTTTGTTTGAGCAAGCAGCCAGAAAGTTTGAGGAAATAATGAGAAAAAGGAGATGTACTTGTCAATACAATTTCATGATTGAGTGTAGATGTTGGTGAGAAATGAGACATCTTGCTGCTTTTTGCCAAAAGCTTTAGAATCACAGTGCAGTGTTTCCATGTTTTGCTGCACAATTTCCTAATGATAATGTGTTCATAAACAGCAAAGCAATATAGCTCAGCAATGCACTGTCAAGACAGAATAGTAATGATTATGGGGCTTCTTCGGAATAAGATAACCTTGAAATCCAGTAATTAGGTAACAATGTGTGCCTTAGTTTAACTCTGTGTCTTGGTTTAATTCAGGGTCATTTTTAAGTGCAAAAACTGTCCCCATGTTTGTGTTCCAAAAATCAATATTTACTGTTTGTTAGATAGAATTTTGAAACAGAAAAGCTGTAGTGGAGGCCTGTGAACTTCTCAGGATCTTTGCTGAGTATAACACACCCTGCCTGAACCTGCAATTTGTGGGTATTGGTTCCTACTTTGTACAGCCATTCTGCATATGGACATGCATACAGCATATGGTGAGACTTTTAAGAAAACTTTTTGTTCAAGTAAACAACTACAAGTCCCATCAGCCCAGCTCTGCCCTGTCTGCAATAAAGATCTGTTGCTACAGGCCTTGGCATTAGTTCAGGAGACGTTTCCAGTCAGGATTCATTTTTGACATAGATGAATGAGGACTTTGGTGAGACAACTCAAAAAGAGATTGCCCTATATAATTTGGCTGAGCATTAGGCTTTGAGAAATGAATGATTACATTTAGAATTGCCTTTCACATGAATAGCTGGAGAAGATCTGTCCAGCTGTCTATATGAGAGATTTATTTTCTGGGGTAAAAGTGGAGTGAACTACTTTCTCCATTCAGAGAAAGCTTTGGGTTGAGTAGTCACCTTCTTTTGAAGGAGAAGAATATTCCTGATGATAAAAAGAGTACATAGAAATGAGAGTGCATTTTGGAAATTGAATAGTATCTTCTTCTCCAGAGATCCATAACCACTACCAAAAGGGTACCAATTTAAAAACAAGTTTTTGAGGGGAAAAGGTTACTTTTATCAGAGAAGATACTACTGCAGATGCACATGCTGAGCTGACTTTACAAAGCAGTTAAGTAGTTTTACATTGTAAAACTTTTAAGATGCGCATACAAATAAAATTTCTCTGACAGGTACATGGAAATTCTGCTAATCCTTTGTGTCAGAAATGTATTTTTGGAGTGTGTAAGGCTAGAATAAGCTTTTTTTAAGGCAATATAATGAAGTTAGAAAATCTAGGAATTTATAAAATATGTGGTTTATTCTTCTATGCCTTCACTCCATAGAAATCTAGGAAATTATGGGCTTCTTCTTAAATCCTTGTGTGTTGTTCTTTGTGTATTTTCAGGATTCCTCTTTGATTGGAACAGCCACAGTGGCTGGTCCCAGGACAAGTGCAATAATTGGAGATCAGGGAACACCACCGAAGGTCCAGCTCCCCCTCAATATGTAAGCAGCTCTCAGTCACTGTGTACTCTTTGTTTCCAACTCTGTGTGTGTGTGTGTGTGTGTGTGTGTGTGTGTGCTTGAAACCTGAATGCCCAAATCTCAGCTCAGGTGCATTCTGAAAAGAGAGAGATTGCAATTTCAAATGTGAGGCAGCCTCTGCTGAAATTAAAAAAGTAATAGAGAAGGGCAAGACTTCCCCCTTTCTGTGTGAGCCCTTTTAGACTTTATTTATTGTAACTGTATAGATCACTGTGAAGCAAACTGAGTACCTCTGAGCTAGAGAAAATCTTTCATTTAAAGCTCTTAAAAAGGTGTAGTCCTATGCAATCAAACACCTGATTTAATCACAATTAACCAGAAAAAATGGCTCAGTTCCACTTTTTTGGTGCCATCAACAATGAATGAACAAGGCAATGAATGAACTTCACATCTTTGGCATACGGTCTTGTTGAATAGTGCGTAGAATAACAGAAGGTTCACAGAACAAAAAGAGTAGATTTCATATATAGCAAGTCTCTTCTAGCCTGGTTGGTTTATCTGATACTTGTCTAATTAACTACTGAATCCTCTCCTCTCAACACATATACCTCATAAAAGCAGGACAACTATACACACACAAACACATATGCGTATCCACATTTTTGGGTTTTATGATATGGCTAAAACAAGGTCTGAATTCACAAAATCCTGAAAATAATAGATCTTCTTTAAGAACAATGGGCGTGTTTAATCAGAACCAAACAAATTTCTTCTTAGCTACTTGAGATCTTTATACCTGAGAGATGCCACACATCCCTGAGTGCCCCATGGAGAGGTCTCACCATTGCCCTGTGCTCACCCTGCACAGCCTGTGTGGCACATAGTGGGATATGTGTTTATTGCAAGATTTGCCCTGACTAGGAAGCGACAACTGGCATCATTTGAAGTACCTGGTTGCTGAATCAGGACATTTTCCAGCTCTCAGGCAATGCCCCGACTCCATGCCTCAGCAAGCCTCCCCTGCTCCCTCCCATGCTTCTCCTGTCATCTCCCTTGTGAAGCAGCCTTGTAATCCGGTCTGTCATTCTGCATTTGCGAGCCAAGTTCCAGTCAAAGAAGATGCATTATTTGAAAGCTGTAGCAGTAGTGGGGAGGTGCAATTCTAGACAAAACCCTGGGGCTTCTGCGCTGTAAGCAGAGTCACAGGCAGCTACCCAAGGCCAAGAACACTTCACACTTCAACCTTTTTTCAGGGAATTTCTAATAAACATTTTGGGTTCTTCTAGGTCCCACTTCCAAGCCTTAGCCTCACTGTTTCACATAGCCCAGAATAATCTGATACTACATTTTGCAAGATTTCAGATTGTTGTTTTAACACTTTTTTCTAGGCTGTACAGAGTTAGCTGGTGAAGTTTCACACCTAAAATCTAGAGAGCAGTGAAATGTGTCCAAATCCAAAGACTTTGCCTTAAGGCAAAATCATCCTCAGCAAATGGGACCACTAGACCTGATTTCCTGCCAGAGGAAAAACCCAGAAACAAATTCTGGGGAGGGAAGCTGCTGGCAATCAGATTGTTTTCAGCCATGGATGAGAGCAGGCATCTCCCCCAGCTCTCCCACAGCCCCCTCCCTGCCAGGAGTGGAGTTTATGCCTGCCCACAGGCTGGGCCTGCCCCTGGGTTTGGAGAACCCTGTGCCTCTGCAACTAAAGAGGAGACCCCCAGGGATGGGCATCCTCACTACCCCCCTGCACAGGAGATGGGATTGCTGGTGCACAAAGAAAGTACTGATCACTTGTGTTGTGCCAGGGTCACCCTACATGGTTGTCACACAGAAGCTTTCATCACTTTAGCCATACAGATGTTGGTCTTTCTGGTGTGGCATCTGTGCTGGGCTGTTGTACATCTTCTTTTAGTCTCTGCAAGGATTTCAATACTCTATCCAGAGGATGTTTAGGCTCACTGTGATATTGGATATTCAGACTTAGTGGTAGCTGACTTGGGGGAATTTGCTGGGTGAAGCTAGTAGGAGAGAACAAAAAGAAACTAATAGGAGATCTGAAGATAGCTGCAAGGCACAACAGCCTATGATCCACTTAGGGTAATTTTCCTTGCACCTGCTTCCAGAATCTCCACCTGTAAGTTAAATTATTACATGTAGCCCGTGGGGAGAAAAGGCTAAGTGAATCTATCTAAAATGCTCTATCCCTGACCCCCTGCTTTACCCATAGCTTCTGAATCTGAACCCTGTGTAAGCAGCAATTTCAAGAGGGACAGTTAAAGCCACACTCTCTGCTCCCTTGAGTGAGTGCAGTCTGGCACTTTCTGTTATGTCCTTGCAGTGCTGAAGGATTAGCACTGAAGCATGCAACCTTATTTCTTGTCAGGGTGACGCATTTTAATGTCCTTCAGATCATATGCAGCCTCATGTTTTCCGTCAGGTGAACAGCTACAGACCTGCTCAAGACCACCCGATTATATAGGCTAAAAAAAGGATGTGCAGGGTGGTTTCTCCCCTCTGTTGGCTAATGAAATATAGTTTCTGATTAGCTCTTTGTACCCCATGCATGTGGTAAACAGAGCCAGGCACATCAGCCTAAGATTCCCCAAGGAGCTGTTACCAAATAGTTCATATTCTGCTCATTACTGCTGTTTATTTACTACCTTCAGAATAAAAATAAGGAAATCTATGGTACAATAAAGAAGTAGAATCAAGAAAAATAACAGGATTTATTCCTCAATTATATTTCCTGGAGAGCAGAAGTAAAAAGTCATGTATCATTTTTATTGGCTGAAAATCTACAATTACAACTGCCATAGTTTTGGTTTTTTCTCCGGTTCACTGCTATAAGGTGGGCAGCAACCCTCTTCTCACCCACCCCTGAGTCTAAGAGCATTCTGCTGCAACTTTGCAGTGCAAATGCACTTTCTCTGTTTTCCCATTTCTCTTAGTCTATGTTCACTGCCTGTAAATCACAAATAAATAAAAAAAACTCGGGAAGGCAGAACCTTGATCAAGAATTACCAGAAATCCCTTTTTGTATCTGGAGAAAAGCAATAATACAAAGAAAATCTGGTATTTACAAAGAAAGTGTTGTTCTGTGTGTGCACTCTTGCTATTCTATCCCGGCTTTCCATTATTTCCCAAAGTGCAAGCAATCATTCTTAATTTTCAACAAGAATCTCTCTAAACAGAGAGAGTCTCTGTAGGGATTTTAAGCTGTAGTCATTTCGCAACACTAGACACATCGCTGAAGCAGTAACAGAAGAACAAAAGAGAGATAAATAGAAAGACTCTAAACAAAGGGAATAAATAAAAGCTGTAATTAAATAAATAAAAAGTTCTACATATTGGATCCTGTATTAAAGATTTATTAGCATACTTGCAAAACATCTAAAACCAAATTCTACCACTTCACTTACTTAAATAAAAAACCCTCTGCAGAATGTGGCCCTTTCTCACTTTTTGTTTTACCAACATAGTACAAGAATTACCATACTAGATCAGAACAGTTTGGTGTGTTGTTTCTAAACTTGGCCAGCATAAATAGCATTGAGAAAGCTGCAAGAAAACCTTTGAAATAGCCTACCAATTTTGAAATAGCCTACCTATTTGTTTTCTTCCTAAACTCCACAACAGAGGTGCATCCCACCTGAAGCAAATGAATGTCTATTTCTTCCAGATGTCAGGATTTGCAAAGCCCTCTTACTCCAGCCCTTGTTACACTGGCTGTCACTGTAATTGTCATGTTTTTCTGAAACTGTTGCTACGTCCTTAACTTGGGTGCTGCTTTGTGGCACTGTTTTGGTTTGGCTAAGCCCTGGATGAGAAGCACATCTCATCAACTTCTAAATTACCTTTTACTCTGATTAGTTACTTCCTTATTGTCTTAGAATCCAGTCTCTGCCCTTCCCTGTTTGTGAAGCAGCCTGTAATGATGTCCCTTTTCAACAACGACTTCTGAGCAGCGCTCTCTGCTCTGTGGGGCTGGAGCTGGGGCAGGACAGGTGGTGGCTGATGTCACCTGTGTGCTCTCTCCCTGTGTGACCTCTCCCCACAGCTACCTGGCCCTGTATGCCTACAAGCCTCAGAAGAACGACGAGCTGGAGCTGCGCAAAGGGGAGATGTACCGCGTCATTGAGAAGTGCCAGGACGGCTGGTTCAAGGGCACCTCTCTGAGGAGTGGCATGTCCGGGGTCTTCCCAGGCAACTACGTGACACCCGTGTCAAGGTGAGGACCACTGGCCTCTACTGGGGCATTCTGGATGGCACTGAAAACAATGGAGCTATGCTTTTAAATCACATTCTCCTTCCAGAAATTCTCTGCACTGTGGACTTCAGTAATGAGACTTGCTGGTTGTAGCATTTGAGTGATCCATGTCCTCAGGAGATTGCACCAGTTGTATTAGATGATGTATTTATAACCTCTGATATGCTCAGGTTTTACTACTGTAAAGAATCTGTTGGCTAATGGTTTTATTGTTATAAAACTACTGGACACGTAACAAAATTAAAACACTTGTGTTTTGCTTTTCAGTAGCTCTTCATCTCCATTTTGTTCTTCTTAAAGCAGAGATCTGGGATAGTTTGGATCTGGACTAATGTTTGAACAGTTAAAATTCTAAAGTGATAGGAGAGTTAAGTAAATTGTCTGATTTTACCCACCCCCAGGTAAAATCAGACAATTTACTTAACTCTCCTACCACTCATCAGTTACAGCAGATGAGAAAAGGAAAAAAGGCATTTTTGAGGGAGGAATGCCATTTGTCAGAGTTCAGTATTGGACAATACCATATCAAAGCTGAGAAGCTGAGAAGAAAGTCCATCTCTGTTTGCCCTACATGTTCATTGCAGGTAAATGCTGGCATATGTATGCCCATATCTCCATTAGAGCAACTGTGGATTAGCAAACTGAACTCATTCCTTCTCATGTGCTCTCAGTCTCTCCTCCCACATGCACACAGTCTCCACCATCTTTGACTCCTCTCCAGAAAAGGGCACCTCACAACTCAGACACTGTTGATCTGGAAAAATTATCCAGCTTTTTTACATCTAAAGTTTATGTCAAGTCTGCTGCATGTGTCCTGAGTAACACCAAAAGTTAAGAACAGATCAGAAGGCAATAACTAAGCCTGCTGACAATCCTAATATTGCATTTCAGTAAGGAAACCCCAAATATTAATTCACTGGTTTTTCACTGCTCATCAACCTAAAGGTATTTACCTTATTTTATAGAGTCCTTTGGCTGCCTTTTCTTCTTGCCTCTTCAGCTCTTAATTAGTGAGGAGGTTTGTGCTGAAGGGTCGGTTATCTGAATCAGCAAGACTTTATTAAATGCAGCATGTCACAGCTAGAACAAGACAGAGAAGTGCTAAAGGGCAAAAGTGTTTTCCACAAAACCTGAAAGCAGCATTATGATTATATTTATGATCCTGTGGGCTAATTAAATTCCTGTATAAATCACCCTCAGTGAGAACAGCAATAAAAATTTGATATCAACAAAATCTCCTATTTCCACTACATTCAACATACATTGTTCCCCTTTGACAGAAAAGCAGAGGATTAGATTCATACGTTTTTCTGCCACACCCTACAAAACCCAAGGAAAAGAAGTTGTGAATTTAATAACACTGAACTAGATTTATATGCTGCCAAAACACATGTGTGAGTGGAGCATTATGGAAAAAGAACAAAACTCTTTAGATGGATCGACAGGCCCAGGGCAGCAGAGAATATTTGCCACACCCAACATCTACCCATCTCTGTTGGATTCACAGATAGTTTCTGTACTTGTTGGTGTGCATGTTTGCCTGAACACAGCTCTCAGTGGACTGTTAGATGTGCTTTTCTGGCAAACTGAATCTAGTGCAGATGGCCAAGCCAGCTCCAGCTGAACCTTCCTGCCACCCTGCCAGCTCTTCACAGCAGATGACAGACAGTCAAGATTTCCATCTGGTGGGATTCCCAGCTTTTCCCAACCTGGGGACTTATAAAAAAAATTGAAGAAAATAAAAAATCAGATTTATTTAGCAAAATGTAGTCCAGACAAACCTTGTACCATGAGATGAGTCAAGTCAGTGATACCACAGTGATGTCTTTCCATACATCTGTAGGAGGAGGGAGGATTGGGCAGGAGGCATAGTTATTTTTTGCCCTTTTGGACCATATCCTCCAGCCTGTGATTTGGTCTTTTTCCATCAGAATTCCACTCTTTAGGCTTTCCACTCTTTTCTTAGGGTTATTTCTTCTGTCACCCACGTCCTCTGAACCAGACTGTTCAACATACTCCTTTCTCCTCTTCTCCTCTCTGTCTTCCCATGCCGTCTTGGGGACCCAGAGTTTCTCCCAGTTCTATACTCCATAGATGACTATTAATGCTTTTTCTGTTATTCTCTCCTCTCTTGCTAAACCCTTGCACTGCCTCATTTCCACTTCCTCCATTTTACTTTGTTCTGCCTCATATCTCTGTGCTGTCCTTTCCTGCAAGAGGACCTTGGCGCAAGAAGCAGCCCAGGAGAAGAAAACAGCACAAAATGATCCATCTGTTTCATGGCATCTACAGCTGGGGAAGGCATTCATTCAGGAACTTGAGTGAGAAAGAGGGTCAGCAGCACCTGAGAAAGGTGCTCAGCAGCAGCTGAGTTTGTCCACTGATGTCCTTCTGTCTTCCTAAGTGTCCTTCTGTCCTAGTCAGAGTTTTTTGCTCAATGGTAAGAGGATCCAGACATGCTTTAATTGAACTCAATTCATAGGAGAAAAAGCCTTGTCCCTCCCTTCTGAAGGGACTTGGCCACTCAGGTGAAATTATGCCTGCAGTTTAAAGTGAGGAGTGAGAGAGGTGTCAACAACTCTTTGGACTTCTTTTTCATTCAGGTCAGCTGCATTCCTGTCCCTGTTGCATTCTCTTAGCAAGTCTAAGCTAGGGCTGGTTAAATCAATAAGGTGAGTGTTCAGCCAAGGCCAGTCAAGTCTGCAGCTTCTCAGTCCCCTTCCATAGCCACACACAGATTGTGTTATCCATCTTTGTTTCTCCCTGTAGGGCTGTATGCAGGTTTGGTCCAAAGAAAAGATCTCTGAGTCTGTTTTAATTATCACTCCATGTGAAATAGCCTCTGGCACACAAAATGACATCTGGGAGATACCCATTTCCTCTGAATTAAGATTTGTGATTTTACTAGAAACTATTCAGACAGAAATATAGGGTAATAAAAGACATGATGAGAAAAATTATATTTTCTATTTTTACCCTGCACTTTTTCCTGTAGAATAAAGGGGTGAAAATATCCCTCAGCTTGCTTATAAATGGGTCCTATAAAGATAAGTATATATCCATGTGGGAACCCAGGACATCCCTCTGGCTGTCCAGGACAGCCAAGACCCCTGCCAGGGGGCTCAGAAGCCCTGGCATGGAGTCCAAAACACCTGTGGTTTTGATTATGACCCGTGGAGGAAATTACCAAGCTTATATGAAGACCAGCAAGCCACAACAGTTTAAGTAGAATGATAGTGAAGTTATCACAGGGTGGAAAAGTGGTTTTTGGGGTTTCTAGAATGGGGGTTCAGGAGGCAAGATGGAGGGATCTGGGTGTGTCCAGCCTTTCTTCTTCTTCTTCTTGGCCTCCATCTTCTGCTGTGATGTTGGCACTTCTAAACTGGTTTAGAGTAGAAGCTCACTGTCTAACATAGGTGATAGATATTGGAAAGTAATTGTAAATATTGTACACGTAGTTTTTAGTATAAAGACATAACACCACCCTGGGGGCAGGTGGTGTGCCTGGAACTGTCCTGCTGGATGGACCTCGGCAGGGCAGGAGAAAATTTTTTATAGATAAGATGCAATAAACAACCTTGAGACCAAGAACTGAAGAGCTCTGATTCATTCTTCAAGTGTTCAGGCTGGCAAGTGACTTTTAACATTTCTCGGGGTCACGGCAACCACCAAAAGATCCCGAGATATCAATACCTCAGTTTACTTTAACAACTGATACGGTGTTATGTTAAACCCCCTAAGTAACTGGGGGTACTTATCAGCACTGTGGTGGGGTACTGGGGTCTCTGCAGCATGCTTACACTGTGCACTTGTCTGTCTCCATGCAGGGTGCCAGTGGGAGCTGGGCAGGCCAGGAACAGCGGAGCTGTAGGAGCTCCAACCACAAAAGTAGCCCCAGGAGCCATCCACCCCATTGTGGGGGGTCACAGCAACACCAGCACCGCTGCCAGGCCGGTTGTTCCCATCACCGCGCCCCCGACGCACGGGCAGCTGCCGGCGGCCTCTCCGCAGCTCAGCACCTGCCTGCGGTACTCGGCCCAGCCAGCGGGCAGCCAGCCCCGCAGCGCCATGCAGATGGGTAAGTGCTCACCCTGCCTCCTGCCTGGCACCACTGCTGGCGTACCCCTCCAGTGCCACCCCCCAGAATGTGCCCGTCCCCACCGCTTTCCTCCTCGCTTTAGCCCAGGCAGGGTGGAGTTGGTGCATTGGTGATAGAGTATGTTTGCTTTGCTTGTAATATTTATGGGTTTCTATTGATCTCTGGGAACCACGTTGTGTTTATCAGATTGTTCTGTTGCTACAGCTGAAATAGATTGTAGTGTTTACAAATATTTATACAATTTATCTGAGTGAATGCAAGCACTCTGTATACCAAGGAGAATAACAGTTCTGAGTCCGGTCGGCTTGCTGATAAAAAATACTGCCCTTATAGCAGTGCAAGTAATACATGCCTTGAAATTAAGAAGCATTTCATTGGGCTTCAGGGATGAAAGGTATTTATTAGGCAGAATGGGACCCTGTGTTAGTGGTAAAGCAAAAGATCTGAAATCTGCTGCCACCTTTTTGAAGTGAGAATAAGAGCTTCTTGCACCAGGGGGCCTCTGTTCTTTCTAGGTTCCCTTTCTGATGTACAGCACAATTTTCTAGAGTACAATTTATTCCCTTTTCCCTGATGTTAAACAGCTTCTGATGTTGCATAAAGTAAAAGCAAATCCTGTGGTGGAACTTTATGCAGCAAAATTTAAAACATTTTGTTTCTGATATTTTATAGGGATGTGAGCCATTGTATTTACAAAGATCAGTAACAACTGTGACTGCTCAAAACTGAGGTCTTAGATACAAAACAGAGCAAACACAAATGAGAAATACCCTGCAGAGTGAGTCATGAATTCATACCTTTTGAAGCCAGAAGGCATGATGATGGCCATCTAATCTCACCTCCTCCACAGTCCAGACCAAAGGGAAGAAAATGTAATGAAATACTTGAGAATCTCAGTCTCAAACAGTGGAGACTCCTCTGCTCAACAAACAGTGCAGGGCTGTGTGACAAGCATCCATGTCACACTGGGAATAATCCATTTATCCTCTTTTTCTCTGCTGTAGAAAATGCTGAAGAATTTTCCTCTCAAGTCACACCCTTCCAAAAGGTCTCTGGCTCCCACAGCACAAAGGCAAAAATGTCCCCTTTTGGGTGCAGCGCTCAGCTAGTGTTCAGGTGCTCCTGGTGCCCCCTGTGCCCACGTCACCAGGCAGATGACTCCCCTGAAACCAAGGTGACAGATTGCTCTGCCCCACAGGCCTGGCATGCCCCACACCTTCTTTCCACACCTCCAGCAGCTTCCCTGATTTAAGATTGCTTCTCTAGGTCACTGACATCTCTGAAATGCCAAAGCATTGGCAGGCAGGGTGATCCAGGGACCACAGAGCTGTTCCAAAACCTCCCAAGCAGAGAGTTTTCCAACCTTTCCAGAAGGTTTCCAACCTTTCCAGAAGGTTCACGAGATTGTTGTTTTAATTAAAAAAATCTTTGCCAGGATAAATAAAGGAAGTTTTCATGATTATCAGTAATTATCTCCATAATAGCTGTCCTCACCAGCATGCTGTGGACCAGAGCCCGTGCAGGACAGGTCAAGGCATTGACTTTTGGAAAAGCTTTTCAAGAGTGGCAAGCTGGCACAGTATTCAAATCACGTTTCTGTTGGCTTGCAATATACATGAGTAACAAATCAATTTTCTACAAGGCCACTAATGTAGGAACACACCCAAACGAAATATGAGTGGTGTAGAACAAAAATAGCCTTCAGTGAGCATTGCTAATTAATAGCATGTTTGATGCAGCACAGTCCAGATCCAGAGATTCCAGAGCAAAGGCATACATTGTAACAGTAAGCAGATGAAACTACAGAATAAAATGTGAGAACTCTGCTCAGAGTTGATTTTTCACAGGCCATTTCTTTTACTGTTTTTTATGTTTTATGTTTCCTTTGTGTCTGGAAACACCAAGTCTTACATGAAAGAGGTGATGTACCTAATATTATTATCAAATCAGTGTTCTGCATCCAGGTACATGCAGAGAAATTCCATTAATGTGCTTTCTCTCTAAATTTAGGAAAGTCATTGCTCCCTACAAACAGTAGTTCAAAACCTAGATCCTACAAGTTTAACCATCCCAAAAAAAAATAGATTTCTCATAGGAAAATTGCTCATCACTCAGGTTCCAAATGGGAAAATCAGGAGGGAATCATTTCCAGATAACTAGTGAATACCTTGCCTGGCTTTCTGGAAGTGAATTGCACTTTCAGAGCATGTTCTTAGTAGTCCTGGGAGGGGATGATGATAACTTATAGTAAAAATAGTATTGAAGGCATCTGTAATAACAACTTTTAGGGCTTTCCTTATTCTACATGGTAAAGTGATGTCAAGTTACAGACTAGCTAAAAACAGTGTAGCTGATTTGCTATAAACATTAGTAAAAAAAGACATTACAGAGGAGCTTCTGTAGGGGAGAATCATATAAACTTTGGAGGTGCTAATCTGATGATGACTGGCCCATCATGTTTAGTATCACATCAGATAATAGGGCAGAAGGCTGGGAGATGAAATCCCCTCCTGGCAGGAGTGCTCAGCTGGTGTAGTGAGCATGATTAATGGCACTATCAATCTAATCCCTGCAATGGGTGCCACTGATAACCATAGGAATAGAAACTAGTGGTTTGAGTTGTTCTAGCATTGTTGTTTAGTTACAGATTGAGTGAACTCCAACTGCATAAAAGTTTGTCCTCCAGATGAATTTGTCAGAAAATGACAGGTCAAAGTCAGTCAGAAATTTTCCAGTAAAATGCCACTTGGTCAAAGAAAAGCTGATTTGCTGGACTCAAAGATTTTTTTGTCAGGAATGAATATAGTTCAACCAATACCAACCATGAAGCTGTACTGGCTCATGTAAAGGGAACTGATGGCTTTCCAGAACTGTTCTCCACATAAGAGAACAGTGCAATGATTACATTCCATGTTTTCACATCCCAGGTGAATAACCTGACCAAAATAGAGTCTATTATGGGGTGAGTGAGGATGTTGTGCTCTGAAAAATGTTCAGAAGTTCAAATTTTGCACTGAGGCAGAACTAAACAAGATTATGAAACCTTGAAATCATTTATGCAATGGGCACTTTCCAGCCAGTCCTATTATTGAATCATTTATGTGAGGGAACATCTGAGTATGGACTCGGCTTTTAGGCTGCACATACTTGAAGTGGAGCTGTATTTAGGTAACACCTAAGCAATCAACCAAGCTGGGAGTCATAGACAACATCATTGTGGAAACGGACCCAGAGCTTTGTCACATTTTTTGCATCGTGAAGCATACAACACACTCTGGAATCCCTGGGGAGCTGACCTCATCAGTGTGTCACAGTCACCCTTAAATGGGCGAGCTCTAATTCCTGGTTCCCACTGCTTGCAGGCAGGATTTGCTTAGCAGGAGCAGCCAGACTAAAAGGCACTGCATAGTCCCTTAGGGACTTTGCTGGCAGAGAGGAGGCTGAGCTCAGAAATCCTCCGGTGAATTTCTGCTTAATTTATCCTCTGCAGCATAGTGATGTGATGTTGATCATTTTGTTGGGGCTGAAACAAGACACCTCCTTTTGTAATTGCTGTCTGCAGGGTCAGCGTGGATAATCTGGGCTAACCCCTTAGGTCCCGTGCTGCATTGCTCCAGATCTGATCACCTTAGAAGGAGGGCCTGGGGGTGCAGAAAACAGCTCAGCTGGAACGACATAATGTATTTTTAAAAGGCAGCAAGTTAGGTATTTATTTCCAGGCACGGGAAGGGATAGTGATTGTCATTCCCCAGTGGCATCACTGGGGCAAACAAGCCAATTTTGGTGATTTCGGGCAGGGCTTTGCAGCCAGGAGGGGAATTAGCCAAAAACACTTGCAAGGTGATACATCCTGGGCAAAGGCTCAGATCTTATATCCCCATCGGGCCCTTGGCACCTTCACAGACAGAATCACAGAACATTCTGAGTTGGAAGGGACCCACAAGGATCATCGACACCAGCCCTTCAAGCGAATGGTCCCTAAGGGGATCAAACCCACGGTGTTGTTGCCACCGTGCTCTGCCCAAGTGAGCCAGGGCCGTGAAGGGCCCATCGGGGCAGTGCGAGAGCAATGTAACCGTGCTCTCTGCTCCTCCCGCAGCGCACCCGGCAGTGCCGGCCCCGGAGCGACCCACGGCCACGGTGTCGCCTCTGCGGACGCCCAGCTCGCCCTCCCGCCTGCCCGCCGCGGCCATTCGGCCTCACCCCGCCGTGTCCCCGCAGCACGGCCACCAGCCGCCCGCCCCGGGGGCCCGGCCCCTCATCCCGCTCACCTCCGCCGCCGCCGCCATCACCCCGCCCAACGTCAGCGCCGCGCACCTCAACGGGGACGTGGGCAGCGGAACCCTGGGCGGCCCCGCCGCGCCCGGGCCTGCCGGCAAAGCCGAGGAGAGGAAGAACGAGAAGGTAAGGGCCGCCGGGCCTCTGTGTGCCTCTGTGTGCCTCTGTGTGCCTCTGTGTGCCTCGTGCTGCTGCCGCGGTGCCCTCCCACAGGGCTGTTGAGGAGGCACCCTGTGAAAGCTGGGTTCCATCGCCAGACAGCTTGGGCATCGTCATCTCACACTATTTGCACACTTCATCTTTCCTCCCACCACCATACTCAACACTGCCCTCGTGTTACCTGCTCAGGGATGGGAAACAAGGCTGGATGAGCTGAATTTGTATGTTTCTGCCAATGATCAGCCCCGAAATCTGCAAATTTGCAGTGGTGCAGAGAGGTGTAGCGGGGTCTTGGCTGTCAGAGCCGTATGGCCATGTCAGAATCCGTCTGCCTCCCTACGTCAGAGGCCGATGGTGGCACCAGCCACACAGCAGGTGCCTCAGGCACAGTAAAACATTGGCTCCTGAGTCGTAGGAGCTGTTTTGCTCTTCCAGAAACATCTCAATTTCTTCAAGAAACTCTGATGGCAGTGGCACAGCCAAAGGAGAAGAGGGCAATGGGATACTGCTCGATGGGATGTAGGTACAGTGTACTGTAGGGTTAATCTCTGGGGAGCCAGCAGTGGGACCGATAGCTGGGTATGTGTGCTCCCTGGTACACCTTGCTAAGGAAAGCCAGCTTTAAGGAGGAGAGCTGCTATAAGCACCCAGCCTTTTAGGTTCTTGGCAAATATTTTGCTTTTCCCAAATGTTTACATTGTGTCAGCAGTTCCCATACATCAATGCTGAAGATTATCTCTGTACTGGCTAGCAGAGCAAGATCCTGGTTTGTATCTGAGTAGGAGGAAGAGATGTGGGGGCCTGCTTTTCCTTTGAACCTGAAAAAAATCCTTTCCATATGTTCCCTGAGCTTTTCCATGGTGACAGACACATATGGAGTAAACAATTTCTTTGTACATGGTAACACTGAGGTGGCCGGTCTCTGAGGTGGCCTCTGGGCCACAGATAACCCCTAGTTGCACAAAATGAGGAGTATGAGTTTTAAAATGCTTTCCTTAATCCTGTCTTGAATTTTCTCTGAATGCATTTTGTTGAAAGAAGAAGGGTGTGGAAATTCTGCCCTGGATGAGACATTTAGGTATGTGCTTACAAAGAACCGCTCTCTGACGTGCGTCAAGGTCTGCATGCGGTGGAAACAGAACCACACCTGCTACTTCTGCAAGTCCAAGGAAGGGAACAGCATTTGGCAGGAGGTGGTAGAGCTGCACATTGCCTCAGAGCATTGTGTACTGGCTTATTTATTACTTCCTAAAACACATTAAGCGATAGGTCCATATATTTTAATTCATGTGATACTGCACACGGAAAGTCTGTAGACAAAATTATATCGAGCACAGTCCTGAAATACTGGTTAACCTTTCCCAAGTTATTACAGCCTAAAGTTACTGAATTGGGATGCAGAGAAGTAAAGTTAAGAGGTTTTTGATCTCCATGCATGAAGGGGAGAAGGAAATAATATACAACATCAATGCAATGGGTGTTGCCAAAGACCAGTTCACTATCTGGGAAGTATCAGAGAAAAGTAACCGTAAAAAATGTCATTTCTGACTCATTTGGGCAATACATAACTGCCCCAGCTGAACAACATTTTCCTGAATCTTGTCCATGTTATAGTTCACTTTCATTTTAGAAAAATCTGAATTAGCAATTCCTTTCTTTTTAGAAATAGTGTCTGATGTTCGGCCAGATAAGTTGACTTACTCTTTGCTAAGCCCAAATGTTTCTTTGAAGAAATTGAGAGCTTGGATAATGCCAGAAGGAAAGCCATATAACTATTCAGTAAGGCATCTGTGAGTCAGAACTGGAATCATATCTGTAACAGGGCTTGATATTTTCAGAGTGAGGGCTGTTTGGGCAGGTTTTTGGTAAATAGGAAAGTGTCATAACACTCAGAGGGAATATCAGTGGAGAAAGGCAGTATCTGTTATCAGTACACATAATACGAAAAAATCAGAAAATATCAAGGAGGAAAAACAGGAGAGACATAGCTAGCAAGCTGCCAGATAAGCAAAGATCAGAAGCAATTTTTTTGAGTTCAGTTTCATTATATTAATCAGTCAGGTATTTTGAGATGAAAGGAGCAGAGGGGAAGTTAGTAAGAGGAGAGGTAATAAGGTCTTCAGCTCTATTGAACACAGGATGGAAGAAATGCACAGGTAATTATCTCCTGAGAAACTGAGATTAGCAATTCATGTGTGATGTAAATTGTAATGTGTCATTAAATTAGCATTGCTGTTAGAATCAACAATTTCTGGTGTCCTATGAAGTTGTTAACTTTAATCCTGGCTTAGTCTTTCCAGTGTCTTTTGTAGGATACCACTGAGGAAAAAGGCTGAATGATCAGAGAATAACTGGTTTAGGAGACATTTTGTTGTTATTAACCATGGTTTTCTTTCATGCAGGAATTGTCAGTGTGAGTTCACTATGGTACAGATGTCACATAGTTCATAAGAAGAAGTAGTTTGCATTCAGGGATGGACATGATGAGGATCCATTGTTTTTCATGGTTCTTTTGAGGGCTGTGGAGATAAATTGCATTTTTTGCATTTATCACTCTACTATGGTGAAATATATTGGTCCTTGGGTAATTTTCTTCAGATTATAATTTTAGTAATGTTGATTGTCTGCTTGAAGGCTGGGTTGGGAGTGGGGGAAAGTGTTTTAAGATATGGTCTTCTAAAAACTTATGTTTTATGATTTCCCATGTTGATTCCACTCAGGATACTAAATGTGACACCAAGGGGCAGGTTCTGCAGTGAGTCCATGTATGCTGTTTGTGTTGTTTGTTCCAAGATGGAATCAACTTCACCTCGGGATACAGTGCAGTCATCACTGCTAATGCTTTCCTCTGTGCAAATGTTTATATGCCAGTGTATCACAGGTTGGTGTGCAACAGTCACATATAGGCAAATCCCACGATTTCTCTAAAATCAAGGGACTCCAATTCCAACTTTTACTCATTTCCTTGTGGCTTAAAGGCAACAGGCAGAAATAATCCTAAGGATTATGGTTTTCAGATCAGCATGAATGATTTTCTTGCTCATTTTCTATTAATATAGCAAATAAATCCTTAGGTCTATTTTTTGACATCTCTAGTTCTCTGCTTCAGCTTATTTCTTGAAGATCTTGATCCAAATTTCCAAAGCTGCAGGTGAACCTTGGTACTTACATTCATTTAGGTACCCTAATAATAGTGTCTTACTGTCATGTTCCTGCTGACTTAAGCAGGAGGTGAAATTCTGCCTCCATGCCAGTCTTCACTTGTTGGTGTGCATCTAATCCTGGAATATCCCATCTGCAGCTGGGCTTGGGCTCCACATCTCAGCTCCTTGACCAGCCTCCTGTCTCCTTAAGGAACAGTTTTGAGCATGGTCTACTTTACCAGCTGCTGATAGTAGCTGATGAAAAACTGTGCCATAGACAGTGCTGAAGTCCACTGTGCAACAGAGTACTTGGAAAGTACTCTGGCAGCCAAGCAGACTGAGAAGCAGAGCACTTGAAAATCAGAGAAGTTTCAGTGCTGTACGGGCACAGGAGGAGGCAGCAGGAAAGGCGGCTCCCGCAGGGCAGCACAGACACTGCAGGAATGACAAGCGGCCGGAGTAAAGGTGAGGGAGCACGGCAGAAGTTAGAGGTAACAGTGGTCAGGGCAGCAAAGGAGAGAGAAGAGCAGTGGCAGCTGCTGGGAGATAGAGCAGGGAGCACCAGAGAAGCAGTGCCAGGTGAAGGGTGCTGTGCAAAGCCCAGAGGAAAGGGTCTTGGAACAAGGAAGTTGAAATACAGGGCGAAATGTGTCTAAAGAAGGCAGTGGAAGAGAGGAGAGTGTGAAGGAGATTCTTTCTTCTTTTGCTCAAATGCTTCCCACTTGAAGCATTTTTTTTTCTTTTTCCTTTGCCCAGAAATAAAATGTTAATTTTTCCCCAGGGTTACTCTATGCCAGGTTAGGGATGGGAGCATCCCTGAGATATCACAGGGTCAGGAGAGAGGCAAAACAAAGAGCAAATGGACAACATCCATTTCCTTTAGGGGTGTGGAGTGATAGCAGGGGTCCTTCGAGTTCTTTATCATTTGTTACTAATATCTGCATGTGTAGCTGTCTGAAAGTAAAAAAATTCAGTCCCACTTCCCAAATCTTCTGAATATCTGAAAGAAAGACAATGAGATCTCAGCTGTGGAACTGGAGCAAAACTGTATGGTTTGGGGGCTTTTAAAATAGGGATCCTGCTTTTTTGGGCAGGAATACTACCCAGTTCAACTGGTAGATTACAGCTAAGAGCTTGTAATTATGATATGACTACTGCTTTGACCTTGCTCAATTTTTGCTATAATAGTTTCTGCTGTACATAATCTGGGTTGATGCTTAATACTACTGATAAAACCACTTGTTTGAATGAATTAATGCATTTCTCATTAAATGAGCTCCTCATTATGTTAATCAAATCAAGCAAATCATGCTGGGTGGTTTGACCACTGTAATTAAACTTTCTTTAAAATCCAGTCATTTGGCTTTTGATGAGGATTTTGATTAAACTCTTCCAAAATGTCTGGCCCAAGAGCTGACAGGGAGGAAAATAAGAGCTTGTGCTATCGAGCAAGTCATTAATTCGTCACTGTGTTACAGCAATTCCTTACTGTTTTACCTAGCCAGAGTATATTGAAATATTTGAAAATTGGCAATGTAAAATTAAACATTTCTTACAAGTATGCTGAGAGAACAAGTCTGTTTGCAGCTTCAAATTTAGGAACTGGGTCCCTGGAATACATAGTGGATCTAGATAACAAGTCGCAGCAAATGGGAAAATACACTAGGCCGCTGTTTCCTGATGTTAAGATAAGAAGAGATACATCTTCAGAAAATGGCTTTGAACACACACCAACAGTTTTGCATGTGAAGACTAAATCAGTAAACATCTGTCTGTTTTCACCAGTGTCACTCACTTTCTCAAGTATCGGTCCTGCTCAAAATA